ACCCCATCCCAAGAGATCATTTTCAACCCTTGTGGCTGTAGATCTGCCTGCCCTTCTCTCTCTCTCAGCAGCAGCTGGCAAGGCTTGACTGTATTCACCCCTCATGTGGCATTCCATGTGGTGTTGTGGATGCTGATGCACAGGAGAAGGAAGAAAAGAGAGGAGGACCAGGAGTACAACAGTAACTATCAGGTTTTTTTCCTTGTCTCTAGTTCTGGTGCTAGGTATCACGGCTGGTTTGAGGATTTACACCAAAAAAAGCAATGAATCTGGCAGAAGAAGGGGTGGAAAGGGGATGATGCTGCAAAGTCCATCAGAATGGTGTATGAGCTATATATACATACAAATACAAGCACACAAATATATGTATATATAGCAGAAGGCAGTTCTGAAAGCAGTAAGACAAATGCAGGAAATGCTTCATTATTACCATGCAAAGACTTTTTTCAGCACAATTCTTCGCATATTCCCCCCAAAAAACTGTGCCTGGAATGAGGATAATGGAAATATTGATTGTTATCTTAAATTGTCTTTGTCAGCTTCATTTCCCAAAGTGTCCTATATTTAAAAGACAAAGGACTTGAACCCCAGCATGTGCTTAATAGGAGGAAGTAGCCAGTCTGTTAGCTGGCTTTGGACATTTTTTCCTTTTCTAGGAACTGAAGATGCAGAAAAAAGTTCTTTGTTAAAATAATTTGGTTAAACTTGAGTGCTTTTTCCTTTTTTCTGTGTTTTTTACCTTTGGTTGGTCTGTCACTTAACATACTTTATTGCATAAAACGAAGCCTGGCCAGGTAACAGTTGCTTATTTACCAAAAAGATACAGTTCTGGTTGCCACCTGAAATTTCAAGCTTCAGCATAATTCTCTGCAAGCCATTTGTGTGGTGTAGCCAGCCTGACCTCCAAGCTGTACGTGCAAAGCTGAAAGCCACCACATCTGATCCACGTGGCTCAGAGAGCCAGGGAGCCCCAGCAGTGGCTCACAGGTGAAGGAGACCTGCTGTGTGCTTGTATGAACCTTTGCAGCTTGCAGGACAGAGCAGGGTTTGGCATGCCTATAGATCCAGGTGCAACCTCCTGATGCTCGGCTCAGAACTATGAGCCAGCCTCCCTGCTCTAAGGCTTTTTTAGGGGAGCCAGCCTGGTCACAGCTGTGCAACAGCATTCCCTGGTGTCTAAATCCCAGCAGTTATTAAAGCTTTCCTACCTGGTGGTTGTTGCTAGGCAAGAGGCATCCTGCAACTGCTCCATCACTGAGGTCAATTAAATGTTGTCCTCAAGCAAGTTCCTTTGAACTGGAGTCTGTGTGAAAACAAAAGAGACAAGATTCTGGTTCTCTTCATTAAAGAATGATTTGAGCTGTTGATAGAGACAAGCCTTAGTCACAGCTTTTAATTTCCTCAAAGTAGAAAGGAAGTTTGGACAAAATTTTTTAAGGACTAAGGACAGAGTTTTTAAAAGGAAAGGATGTAATGTACATAATTTGAAACAGCACTGCTCACCCCCTCCTGCTTTGCATCACTTTTTCATCTGAAATGAGGGCCAGCATCAGATGACACTATAGTTCATGCCCATGTAAATGGTAAGGTCCCAAGTTGTACCAACAGAACAAGGCATATTTTTGCTCAGTTTTTGGATTTGCTGCAAGAGGAGAAAAAAGATAGGAGGGTTGCTAATGTTTAAAAGAGAGGGCAAAGCAGAGAAAGTGAAAAAAGGGAAGGAAAATATCATGTGTAGGCTCAAAGGTAAAGGCTGTTTTTCTCACTGATAATAAATGTGCCAAGAAGGCTGAATTCATTTTAAAAGGTCATTGGAAAAAAAGTCAGATGGAAAACGTTTTGATAATTGAAATCCAAAGTTTTGTGCATGTTATTTCATCCTGGGTTTCTGTCAGCTCAGCCAACCATTCTTTGGGCAAGCAGCATTGCATCTTGTAAAGGAGCCTGTCTCAGAGCCAGGATCCCCAGATCCCTGCTGGAGGAAGCTCTGCTCAGCTCCACCAGGTAGACACAGTCAGGACCAAAACCTGGGAAACTGCTTGCTCTGGGATTGGGAAAATACTCACAGCTCAGCTAAAAAAGCTGGAAGTGGGGTTGTGATTGAGGCTTCCCTTACTTCAAAGTCTCTGGATTTCCTTTCATTCCAGCAGGCAGAATGTTATTTTAAAAAATTAAGTTGAAATGCTAAATTATTTTTAGTAATTTTTGCCTGAAAAATTACTAATCAGAATACTAATGTAAGGAACTTTTCATGCCTCATTCAGTCCTAGTGGGTACCTAAATTGATTTTTGTAACAAATAAATTTTTTTGTCAGTGAGAGACAGTTCAGGAGCCTCTATGCCTATTGAAGTTTCATGTTCAATGTTTTGAATAATTCAGGCAGAAAAAAAATATTTAGAAAATGTCAGATCATTTTACTTTGAGATTTTGGTGTTTCATTTTGCTGCAGCATTGTAAAGCTAAAGGAGACAGAGGAAACCACTTGGTAATGTCAAATCCTTCACTACATTTGGCAGTGCCGTGGGAAAATCCACATCTTTCTACCCTATGAGTTGGAACCCACCTGCCCTTCACCCACCTGTCACCACCAGGTTAGGGAGTTGCTGGCTTAGTGTAATGACAGATATTTTCTTGTATATTTGAGAGAAGTTTGAAGACACAGCACTCAGTGGTCAGGAAATCAAATTTTGTCCTCCCACCTCTACAGTGCCCCAAAATGCTAGGCTTCTCTGGGAAGGGGGAAGAATTATCATGATGTGGTCAGTCTTCAGTATCCGGAAAAAAAAAGTGTGATACTGTACCTGAAGGTGAATAATTTCAGTACTTTTTAAAGAAACAGGAATGTCACCTTTTCTCTTGCTCCCTTGCAGCTGTGTTCCACCTCCTGCTGCTCAGGCTGCAGCAGAAGCTTCTGAAGGCCTCTCTGAAAGTTTATAAATTTTTTCATTTAACCTGAAACAGTTTCTCAGCCCTTTCTTTTGGTGTGGAAAACAACTCTTGATTTTAGGGTCAGTCCAAAACTGATAGTTCTTTATTGAATTATAATCCTGTAGTAACACAGTGCATTATTTCATGCCCCCTCAAATAGCTTTCCACCAGGCAGAAACAAAACACGTATCCTTCCTTTGATTTCTGTTCAGGCATCCTGCTGTTGATAGCAGCCAATTAGCTATTTGCCATGGGATGGCAGCATCCTGAATACATATCTCAGCTGGTGAACCATTTGTCTTCTGAAATCCCCACTCTGCACCTTCTGGATATAGTTCACACCCCGGTCTAACACACTGGAGTAACATGAGCTGCCAGCATGATATCTGCAATTATCAAATCAGCAAATATAAAAATACGAAATATTTGAATCTGTGGGCTTGGTTCTGACACAAAAAATGTACAGACTTTTTTTTCCCTTCTTGTCCTCCCACTTTGAAAGACCCTCCCCAGCTTGCTATGGCTGTCGTGTAGAGGAGAACGCATTCACAAACCCTTCTTACTGACTGCTTTTCTCAGCAGTAGTTTTCAAGGGTCTTTCCCCAGTGCTGTACGAGTCCCTGCAGGTGATGTGCCACAGAAGACCTTCAGGCTGCTGGGAAAGCCTTTCGTAGAAGCCAGCGTGATTTTAGAGCCAGAGCCAAGACATGGTTTGTTTCCATTGCTGGGGCTGCAATCCTGCCCTAGCAGAAGGAGTGACAAATGCTGCCCATGAGAGAAGAGTGTAGTACACAAAAAATCATTGTGTAAGAAAACAAATGTTAATTATGTAAGCTAAAAAAAACCTCGCCCGGTGCACAGAGAAAATGACAGACAACAGCTGAATTTTCTTACTAGTGCTTCTCACTCTATTTTATTGCTAGAGCTTTTTGTAAGAAGAGTTAAGCTGCTCACATATGTCAAAATTTGCCAGGGTTTTCAGTTTTAAAGTAGTGCCAGAGGGGCAGGTGGCAAAGGAGCCTGAGAGTGGTTTATCCAGCTTTAACATGAAGTGGAACCATCATGTTCTGGCAAGGAGGCTAAACGGGGGAGTCAAGTCATCACAGCACGTAGTTTCTTGCTCAGCCTCCTCATGCTTCGCCTTTACTCCCCTCTGGACAAGCCATTTAACTGCAGTCATCTTTGGTTGCTTTATTTTTGTGTTAGAGACAGAAATATCTGTGCCCCGTTTCCATGCCTACTCATATTTACAGAGTTTATTCTGAAATCCCAAGCTGAAAAATCAAAGGAAAGGCTTGATAATAATGTGACAGCAAAGCAACGACACCTCCAGCATCCGTTGTTTTGCCCCGAGTCTTTTCTTCCAGGAGAACAGTTATTCAGAAAGGGAGGTCAATAGAACTCTAAACACATGCAAACTGAATACTTCATGTTTCTTATTGTCTTTAATGATGTTCAGTGACATGAAAATGTTACCATGGAAACTAGTTTAACAAAGGTATTACATGTGCTGTTTCCAAGGTTCAAGCAAGGCTCCTGCCTCTACCAGTGAAATTTTAGAGGAAGGAATGACTTGTCAGTGTCTTCATGGGTCAAACAACAGGTCTCTGAAAACCCCCAGTCCAGTAATTAGATGTTTATGGGACTTCATACAAATAGGACATCCACTGTTCCCAGCTCCTTCCCTTTTAAGTGATCAGTATAAATTTAAGATACTATTAGTTGAAGACCCTTCAGGAAATGCTAGAATGGAGTATGGCATGAAAATGGACTTGCCAAATCAATTAATTTCTTCTAGTGCTTTGCTGTAGGCTGTTTTAGGGCAGAAGAAATATGATCTGGACTTTCAAAATGGAGTTAATCAAACAAAATTTAGGTGCTGAGAAACAGAATGTTCTGCATGTTTATGTGTCTGATGATGAACCTCCTCTCATTTCCAAAAGACATATCTCCATGGAACATGCTTCTGAAGTCCATCCAGAGCTCATAGGAGGTGATATATTCTTCAGAGGATATAATCCCTATTATACTCTATTCCTATTCCATTCTTCATATAATTATATTAAATAGCATGCAGAGAGAGAGAGAGAAAGGAAATGCCTGTGGCAGTCAAGGCTGAGGAATTTTTTGGTTGTCCCAAAACCAGCAGTGGCTGAGAGGTAGGTGCAGTGGCAGGATCATCACCAGGGTAAGCACAGCTCTGTGGGAAGCGTACAGAGCATGTTACACCCCAGGATGGACTGACTTGGGAAGGCCAGCCTGCACAGGACATCCCTGATGACACATCCCTGAAAGTCTAGAAAAAAATACCTGCAAGAAGAAATGGAAGGATGTAGGTTTTTTAGCCAAAGAGAGCACTGAAGAGTGACAGACAAAGGGAGTGTTTGGTTGGGGAAAGAGTGTGGTGAGAAGGACAAGGAATAATGGGTTTCAACTACACCTGTGATGTTAAGATTTGGTTTTAAGGGTGGGATTCATCTAAGCAAGTACAGATATCTACCATATAAATACTCCATCTAGGTTTCATCCATAACCGTGGAAAGAAAGAGTCACTCACAGAGAACTGATCATCTCATCCTAAAATAGACATCTAAAATAGTGCCTTCACAGCACCTCGTGGTTTTCATCCACAGCAAAGCAACCTGTTTCTTGCATCCAGCACTTCCAAACTGGCTCCTGCTCTCACAGCCATAAACACTAAAGTTTGCAAATGAACTACATATGTGGGATGGGATGCCAGGGCCTGCTAACCCCCCTTATCCTCCTTTGCTAAGGCAAAGAGCAAACCCTGGAGCAGGCTGAACTGCTGCATCCAATTAATACTGTGACCAGAATCATATTTAGCAGCTGTAGTACATCCCTGTGAGTGCCAATGACCATGTTAAAAAGACCACATGTTTATGAAGAATATAAATGTCCCTGTTTTGTCTTGTCATGTGCTGGGAATTGGCCCTGAGTCATTCTTCCTATGAATCCTTTCAGAAGGACCAAGGGGAAGAAAGGAAGAGAGAACGTTACCTTGGTGAAGGGCAGGTTTTCTCTTGCACTCTAAGGTGAAGGCACAGCACAGAAGTCTGTGCAGCATTGTGGGTTTTGAGATGTGGAGAATTAGTGTCTGATGACCAGGTTCTGTATCATCAAAGAATTACAGTTCAAGTTGTCAGAAGATAATAAATTAAATAACTCTCAAAACAATACCTTCCTTTCAACATACTGAGTTCTGTTCCAGATATGCACCTATGCTATGGATAAGCCACCCTGCCTCTCTCTGGTAAGCTTCCATATATTTTATCAGAAACAATAAATAAATAAATACCACCCAAAGGAGCAAAGAAGCAGCCATAAGCAGTACACAGAAATCAGGTCAGCACAGTGGTACTTGTAAAACACAGTAAACACATGTTACACCACCAGCACAGGCGTTAAATCAATACATGGGAAGATGTGGTGTTATCAGGAGGCGAGAAGCTATAGATTTCTTCTGGTTTAATTGTACTTCTGCACCTCTGTAAGCTATTAGATGTGAGTAAATATGCCAGTGCAGAGGCTTAATGATAACTTACTCTAGCATTTCTGTAACACTTTTCTTCTTCAGAATGCCACCTGTCTGAGACACGTAGGTAAATATTAACCCTGCTCTGCAGCTGATTTATTTATAAGCTATCAGCAGGCAGGTTATGCTGGCAGGCTGTAGAGACTAATTTATAGCTCAGCCGTGGGGAGTCACTTGGTTTGCCTGCACCTGGGAGTAATTTCATACCGCCACCAATCCTTCTCCAGCCTGCAGATGGAGATCTCCTGGTCAGCCAGCTGCTGCAGTGGGAGGAGAACGGAGAGCTGGCTGCAGGAGCCCCACCAGCCTCCTACCCTCTAGATTTCACGGCAGGATGGCAGGCCAGTTTGTCCCCTGACATTTTACCAAGTGCTAGGGACAGCAAGGAGTACTTTGTTTTACATTTGGAAGAGCTTGCTCTTACTTGCTAAAGAACAAAAAGGTCCTGACCTCAACTTCTCTAGTGCAAATCAGGAGAAACAATGCTGAAACCACTGGGGCTGCAGTATTAGAAGCAGAGTGGTTACAAGGAAATAATTCCTTGTTATTTATCGATCACACAGAGGATTCAATTCTTCCTGTGTTACAAAGAGTCAACCAGAGAAGAAAAAACATTTCATTAAAGAAAAAAAAAGTTTGGTGGCGATTGTTCTAGAGGCTAAGGGACTACATAACAAATGATTTCTCACAATTTTTAACATCTTTCCTACTAGGCTAATAGCACTGTAATACACAACATCTATCCTTTCCTAATTCACTATAAACAGTTAAAAAGCAGGTCTTTAAAGACAAAAAGGTGATACTTTCTGGACACAGTTTCTGTGATAGCTGTTCTTGCTGTCTGGGAAACAGGATAATCATGGATAGCCACACAGGGGCTGTGGTGTGGATGGCACCCAGCCATGTGGGTGCTGCCATGGGCAGCTGGACTGTGTGGAGAGGGGAGCAGCCAGCAGAGCGTGACAGGACATAGCTCTGCTCCCAGGGGGAAAAGGCACAGGGATTTGGTATGCAGGCTAAAGCACACACATACTGAGGTAATACAACTTATTTGGGTAAGTCTGTTGAGCCTGCATACACTGAAGTGTTCATGGTGCTTTATGCCACTGTGCATTAATGGGACAACTGGTGAATGTGGTAAATGCACATTTTGATTCCTTTTCTGCTATTTAACCTGCCAATGAGTCACTTTTGCTCACTGCACAGGCCAGTCTTTGATGGCATCATTAGACTGTGATTACATCATAAATCACACAGGTGTTAAAGCAAATACCCATCTCTGTAGAGCAAACAAAGATATGTCTTGTGAATATCTGTATTTTTGTGAGTCTCTGTCTTCCTCTAGAAAGCAAGATATATACAGTCCCATTTTTCTCTGATGTAATTTAGAGAAAACACTCATTTTAGTTGCAGTGGCTACCTAAATTTTTTTTTTGCTACTTTGTGAATTATTTACATTCAAAATTAATCATAGATCATGTTGAGGCAGAGAACAGCTGTCTGCTCTAAAGGAACAAATACTTCCATTTTCCAAGTCTCCAGTCTGAAAAACTCATATGCCAAGAGTCAGGTCAGGAGCACGGGATGGCCAGAGGAGGTAGTGAAGGATGCAGTCAGGGATCAAGCAAGAACAGGTGAAATGGTTGAGAACAGAGAATCAGGTTTGAGCTAAGGTGTTCAAAGGCAGAAGCAGCATGCAGAGCCAAAAAGCAGGAGACTAAAACAATGACCAGCAGCAAGAATCTGGAGCATAACAACAGTCAAGAGCTGGGCTAAGCAAAGTCAGGGCATCCCAGCAGCCCCCCAAGGACAACCCCAGGGGCTGGTGACCAACTGCAGCTTGACTGTCTGGGACCCACAGATTGGGCTCAGAGTACCCCTGACATTTTGGAGCAAGAGGAGAAGTGAGGTAGTCCGAGACCTCCTTCAGAGCAGTGCAGCAATGGCACTGCCCCTCTTCAGCTGCACTGTGGTAAGCTGGAAGCGTGCAGCTGAAAACTCAGTGGGGCTCCTGTGAGGAGACATCAAGGTGCCATGGGCTGGGTTTGCTGCTGGCACACAGCTCTGGTATTGGCTTGTGTGTGCAGAACATCAGAATGGGCTTGCTGAAGTTTAGCAAAGCATGTTTGACAAACTCATGCTAGGATTGGAAAGCCTGTAGTAGAGTCATACACTGTCTACATCTTCTCATAGGTCAACTGTACGTAAATCATGTTACCATTCTGGGTAGCTCCTCACAGAGACCCAGCTTTCATTAATACTGCCTCCAATTATTATTCAAACACATGCTTTTGCTATCCATCTGATACATTTCTTTTTTTTCCATTTCTCAATATACAGAAGGTAATCTGATTACAACTTTGACCTTTAAGACAAGGCATATCTTGTTTTTTAAATGCCATTCTCAGTATAATGTACACATAAATGTAACTTTATTAGACACTATTACTGGTTATTAATGACATGAGGCATAAATATCTGGGCACAGAGACTATAACCAGATGTACTCCTGAATTAAAATACCAGTCATGTTACTGCTAATCACTCAGACCTTTGGGCACAAGCAATGCTCACCTAACAAAGCTAGAGACAGGAATGGATTCTTCTGTGGGAACAACGGTGGTAGTTGATTTATTTTGCCATTATCTTCAAAAAGGTGCCCAGAGAAAAAAAAAAACAAACTCAAGATATGCTATGAAATACATTACAAGAATATATTTTTACTCAAAAACATTGTACATGGAATATTCTGATATGTGGGTCAGGGAAGACAGGAAACCATCAAAGTCATGGTGGGGTCTAGCAACCAAACCAGAATGGGGAAAAATAACTTAGGGAAGGAAGTGTGAAACCCTGAAAATGCAAGAAAACTGGAGAACTGAAACAGGCAACGTAAACACAAATGTCTTTCAGACATGACATTTGGATTCCATTTGCACAGCACCTTAAGGTGCAAACAACTGCAGAAAATCCTGCTCAATTGAAACAATTTTTAAAAATTCTGGCTCCCACAAGCACCTAACAAAGCAAAAACACGACAGGCATGACTGAGCACGGCAGGACTAAGACAGTGAGCATCCCCCTGTACTCAGCACTGGTGAGGCCACACCTTGAATCCTGCATTTAATTTTGGGCCCCTTTCCCTACAGGAAAGAGATTGAGCAGGTCCAGAGAAGAGAAACAAAGCTGGGGAAGGGTCTGGAGCACAAGTCTTATGTGAGGCAGCTGCAGGAAATGGGGTTGTTCAGCCTGGAGAAAAGGAGGCTCAGGGGAAGCCTTGTCACCCTCTAGAACTCCCTGAAAGGAGGTTGTAGACTGGTAGGAGTCTGTATCTTCTCCCAAGTAGCAAGCAACAGGACAAGAGGAAATGTTCTCAGCCAGGTAAGGTTTAGATTGAAATTTTAGTTAATTAAAATTTCTTCCCAGGAAGGGTTGTTAAGCATTGGAACAGGTTGCCCAGGGAAGTGCTTGAGTCACTGTTCCTGGAGGTATTTAAAAGACGTGTAGATGTGGCACTTATGGATACGGTTTAGCGATAAACACAGGGACGTGCAAGGTTAATGGTTAGACTTGAGGATCTAAGGGTCATTTCCAACCTCAACAATTCTATGATTCTATGGAAATTAGAGCTAGTCAGAGCAGCTATAGGTGCCTCTTTAGACCAGCCTGAACACAGGATAATTTGTGCTGCTTTGTCTGAAGCAGCACTCACACCGACAGCCAAGTTAGCACAACGTGGCAGCTCTCACAGGCACCACCTCCTCAGACTGTTCCAGCTATCTGCACTACAGATATGGACACATATCCCACAGCTCACAGACACGTGCAGGGTTTTGCCTCAGAGGTGGCACAGGGATGACCCTGAAGCAGCAGGGCTGACTGCTGCCCTCAGCCCTTGGCCAGCCCTCTTTCAGAAGTTTCACCCTCCTGCTCCCCCAGGAGAAGACTCAGATGTGTCAGTTCAGTGTGGTTAACTGCAACACATGGGTGAGTCAATAGGAAGCATGGGCTGCTGTGTGCTTCTTTCCATCAGTAATGTTCTCATGGGATCTATTTTTTCAGTGCATATATATGTATTCTGTACTGTCTCTGAAGTAACTCAAACCCCTACATTTCAGCTGTCTGAAATAACATAAAAACCTATGGTAATATGGAAAATTAAACTCCTCAAATGCAAAACAGAGGAGCTGATATATCCTCCTTGCCTTATGCTTTATCCAGACTGACTGCTCAATGCTTTGAACTGACAAAGATAGATCAATTACCTAAAATCATTGCAGCAAACATTGATTTCATTTTTCTCTGAAGTCACACTCCACTCTTTACAACAGGCAGCATAAGGAAACATCCAGCACACTCTGTTCCTCTGCTAACTTCAAGCCTAGTATTGCTTGAAGAAAGTTTTTGCTGAATTGCTCATATATTCCACTGCTTCCTGAATATCCACAACTATAAACATGCTGAGTAATACTAGATAGTACAGCAGCTGTAGGAAACAAAGGCAAGAAAATTAAGATGGTCAAAGCAAAAGAACATTTTGTACCTTTTAAACTCTAATATTCAAGACAGTCTTATGGGTGCATTGTCATGAGTAAGTGGTTTTACTGTAACTGTAGAATTGGAAGATATTAGGAAGCAACTAAGCACAATAATTATTTGCCAAGCAATAGCAGACAACACATGCTTGGGAACTTGCTGTGAATGCTTTCTATTGCTACAGTCAACCTGTAGCCCTCAACGCTGAGGATTCTGTTATTTTAAATATATTACAGAAATTTATTAACTCTTTGGTGTTTTCCAGCTTATGAGCTCTCTGAATATCATTGTTAGAAGGATTTAACTGTGATTTTAAGCAGTATTTTGGTCAGAAATGTCATTAGCACTATTCATCCTCATAGGTTTCACATTATCTTTTTATCTTTTACAAAAGAAAAATAGCAATAGAGACTGCTTGATTGACAAAAAGATATTAAAGATAGTGCAGTTATCAGATGAATCACAGGCAATTTGATGAAATTAATTGGGAA